GACACACACACACACACACACACACACACACACACACACCACACACCACACACACCCACACACACAGCACCCACACAACGAGACTTCCGATTGAGAGACCTGTGTTTGTATTGGTACATGTCTACCAGGACGCGACCCCAGTAGGTTTTGCGAACCGGTGTTTCCTGTCTCCTGTACCTTTTATTCGCTATTTGTGTGTGTATGTGTTGTTTACCTAGTAAAAAGGCATACCGATCGTGTATGTCCAAAACACATGCACTACCGAGAGTCTATTGTACACTACGAGTTTAATTAGATTTTTTTGACTAACAACAAAACTAGGCGATAAAAAAGGAAGAAAAGACACTGTGTTGCGTCCGCGGGGGGGGAGACCGACTCCGTAGGAGAAGAGGTTAACAAAGCTGATTGCTCTCAACCGTCGTTGTGTATGCGAAGACAACACCCAAGGTCTGCTTTCGCGAATTAAATTCTTTTCTCGACAAATACGTATCGTCAAACTTGAACTTCATCGAGATTGAACAAAACGCAAGTCGAATTTAATGGAGTGCCGAACTTAAGTAAACATGTCGAAATATTATGAATAGTTGCATATATGTCGGCAGAAGGACTTCTACTTCGGTTATTACCTATCTGTGTTCAACCTATAACACTATGTGTTAACGTCCTTCAAAATTTCGGGTCGGGGATGGAGATGAGTCGAAGTGTGGTGTAACCGTACCAGATTCCCGAAAAAGTCCTACCGTTAGAGAACTATCTGGCGCGAGGCGTCCCCAAGCGAAACTCGACTCCCGGAAGGTCCCAGCGACAACCCGAGGGCTGCCGCCTCAGAGGACTGTCTCGCTCTCTCTCTGTGCCGGTCCTCCTGTCTGTTCGCCTCAAAGTTTCATTAATTGTCGCCGACTACTAAGTATAATTGGTGGACGGTTTCGTATTATTTGTCTTCTGTGACACCGAGAGGACGATCATAGATTTGGTGTACGACGGCGACGAGTTGCCTCGATAATGCACCTTTTGGACGAACGGTTGTGTACGTCGCACACACACACACACACACACACACACACACACACACACACACACACACACACACACACACACACACACACACACACACACTGTATTTGAAACCAACTTTAAAAGATATTTTTGGCAATTTGTTTATGTCTTTGAAAATCTTTCATCACTAACTCATCTGTGTTTCTGTCACAGTGTTTGAGCTGGTCAAGCAAGGGTAAGCTAAGCCTCTTTATGAAAATGATTGTGTCACTGGACTGAGCTGAATCTCATTAGTTATGATTGCTAATTGTGTGTTCGTTTATGTATTCAGGGCTGTCATGGAGGTGCCCACAGATAAGCCTTTCAGCGAAGACCAGTCACGCTTCTACTTCCAAGATCTGCTCCGGGGAATCGAGTATCGTGAGTCTTTCCAAAACATCCGTTATTGTTCAATCTGTGACTGCATGGTAGAGCAATAATAATGGGGGGGGGGGACGGGTGATTAGGGCTGTGCATCCCTTTCAGAGTTGTTATGCATCCAGAAACACTTTAATTCAATTCTGCTACAGCTGCTGTTTAATTATTGTCTTCTCAGATGCTGCTTTATTTGTATTAGGCAGTTGAAATTAAATGTATCAAGGAAACTCAGTACTTTTTAAATTGACCAACCTTTATTCTGAAAATGTGCTTGAATCTTAACACCTTAACCTTTGTGAAAGAAAAAAAGAAAAATACTGATGATTACAGCAATTTATGTTGCAAAAGTAGCCTAATACACGATAATATCCCAAAATGAGCTTTTGTATCTAGACCTGCGTGAATGCTGCACTTCTTCCACGCCACTTACACAAATCCTTTGCCTGTGCTGTTCTTGACTCAAGCCACCCACAAGGCTCATTTCACCGCAGCTCAGTGGCTCTTAATGTATTTCAGCACAGCAGAAAAGCTTTTGCACAATGTGTCGTCTAGGAGACTAACACTGAGAGGAGGAGATGCAAGGCTCTGCAGCAGGGACACTGAAACTAAATTATTTCTTATTATAATGAAACAAAACTGAACAAGGCTAAGTGGTTAGGTTGATAAATACATTTTATTCTCTTTAATTGCCGATATGGTAATCCAACTTCCTGACTAAGTGCACTTCCAGAGATTTCTCCACAAGCCATTTTTCATTTTACACCACAAGCCAACAACTGATGTGTTTACAATAACAAATATAAAAGGTACTGTTCTCTCCTTACATTTTTGACACTTTTTTGTTAATTTCTTTATTATTAGTCTTTTTAAACATGCAAAACAAACAGAAAAGATACCGGATTTAGCGATTAGCTAATTTCCCTCTGCTGTCCATGGATCGGTACACACATAACAATCAACAGCCGCTAAATATGATGTTAATACAAACAAAACTAAAGACCAGAGCCTGGATCAACATATACATACCAGCACATTTATATATAGAATACACCTCTATTAGATAGAATTGATTTCAATAAGAAAAACTGGAATTACAGGCAAATAATGTTGAGAAGACTGATTGCTCAATACCCAATTCCTTGCAATATGATAAAAAGATGAATAGTCTTAGCATGCCCGGAGCAGGATTCCTCAAATGGGATCTTGTTGCTGTTAAATGTGTCTGTAATGTTTCCTTTCCAACAGTACATTACCAGAGGATCATCCACAGAGACGTGAAACCCTCCAACCTGTTGGTGGGAGAAGACGGACACATCAAGATCGCAGACTTTGGAGTCAGTAACCAGTTTGAGGGTGCTGATGCTCTGCTGACCAGCACCGTGGGAACGCCCGCCTTCCTCGCCCCCGAAGCGCTCTCTGAGACCAGGAAGAACTTCTCTGGAAAGGTGGAGGAACATTTGACTAACTAGTGCCCTCTGGGGATGATTTGAAGAAATGCAAACATCCTTTTTTTTTTGTTGGTCATTTCGTTAAGTTTTCATTAAGTGTTGTATTTCAACTATCTTACACTGAGGAAACTATTTCTTAACATAACATTGGTATCATGTTTTTTTACATCTAGGCTTTGGATGTTTGGGCCATGGGAGTGACGCTTTACTGCTTCATCTATGGAGTGGTGAGTGTGTGCTTTGGTCAAATGGCTTTTTGGGCTGTTGTTTAAGAGTTAATCAGCTGATCCTTCTTTCATTCACAGTGCCCTTTTATGGACGAGCGCATCGTGAGTCTTCATCAGAAAATCAAGACTCAACCTGTGGAGTTACCTGAAAAGTGGGTGAAAAGTTTAAGATTCATTCTAATAAATTAACATGAAAAATAAAGGTTATTATAATTAATTTTTTTTTTTTACAAGATGCTTCGAAGCTCAACATAAAACTTTATTTTGTGATGTTTAAGTAGGATACAAAGGAGTGTAAAGAATATATCAGTTCCTTGGCTGGTAAAAAACAGGGAACCTCTGGTTTATTTGATTAAATTGTAGTCTTTTAATTCACAAAAATATGATTTAAATGTACACGACATAATCTGAAGGTTACATTTCTGTCTTCCTCAACAGTGCTGACATCTCAGATGATCTGAAAGATTTGTTGCTGAAAATGCTGGACAAGAATCCAGAGACCAGAATATCAATTCCTCAAATTAAGGTAAACACTCGTTCCTGTAAACTGCTATTTTACATTATATTGCATTCAAGCACATTTACATTATAGAGGGCTGGAAACTACCTGTAGCAGATATTCAAATGGTGAATCACAGTAGGCTATGTGTTAATGGGTTTAATTATAAGAGACCAGTGCCTCTTACTGGGGGTATTGTTTGGTTCTGCACATTAACATGTCATAAGAATGATTCCTTAGTTACATTTGCTTTGGTGTAAAACAAACCTCTTGTAGTTGGAGAAAAGATGTTCCCTAATGTGGAAGTGAAATTTGTGTCGGCTTCAGATCCTTGGAAATACAGTCGTAAGATCATTTTGTATGTTCATTTAATTCTACATTATTGAAGTCTCTCAATAACAATAACATGTTTCTGGCATAGCTTGACTTGAAGTCACTTTGGTAGCATGTGTTTCGATGTTCCTCCGTTCAGAGATTCTGTGTTTGGAATCATAAAGTAATACATAACGTACGCCATTGTTCTCCTCATGCTTGTGTCCAGGTGCACCCGTGGGTGACGAGGCACGGAGCTGAGCCTCTTCCTCCGGAGGATGACAACTGTAGTATGCTGATCGAGGTGACGGAGGAGGAGGTGGAGAATTCTGTGAAACACATCCCCAGCCTGGCCACAGTGGTGAGGAGACTCATCAATGAACAACAAAGAACACACTTCTGCTACCTGGAGAGACACAACAAACATCTTAACTGAGAAAGAGTGCTTTTCAAGGGCTTTTTTTTATGTATTCTCTTTTTTCAGTTACATTTCAACAGCACCACTACACCTCTGTCTGCCACCTACTTGTTTGCCCTCTCTGCACTTTGTTAGAGCGGATGTATGACTCACTTAGTTGCTCTAAATTATTTGTATTAGTTGCGGCCAAATGCTGCAAAATACATAAACATTTGAGGTGGACCTAACATCTTCAGGCTTGGAGTTTTGCTAGGAGAAAACTTTAGTAACTGGAGCTCTTTGAATGTGAATTGAATATAATACTTGACTTTGGCCTCTTGTAATAAACAGTATATATAGCATATAAATGCTATAATAAATGCTATTACAGCCTGAGTGGAAATGTATGCTCATTATGAAGTTTAAAAACAAACAATATTACGGTTAGAATAACTCCAGGACCAGGGATCTTTTTTTACTTAACATTTCTTAGCATATTCATTCAATTCAGTTCAAGGCTTTATTGTTATTTGCACATTAGCGACAGTGTAGATATTGCAAGGAAAAACTTAGGTCACAGGCTCCTCCAACAGATCAACATATATATATAGGACATAGAACAAATAAAAGCGACGAAATAGTGCAAGTAAATACAAATAATAGCATGGTTTTCTGATGGGTGTGTTATTGTTGACTTTTCTGTTCCAGATCATGGTGAGGACCATGCTGAGGAGGCGCTCCTTTGGGAACCCCTTTGACTGGGCCCGTAAAGAGGACCGCAGCAGCCTGGGTGCTCCGGGGCCAACGCTCACGTAAGGATTGTTTTGCAGTAATATAAAGAGTAAATAGCTTGTGCTATCTCTAGCATAATCTCATTTAGAGCTGCTGGGTCCTCTTGTACTGTGATATTAAAACGAGCTAATGTTTNTTAATTCAAAGAAATTGCTGAACTGAATCAAAAATAATATTCAACCTGAAAAATGATTTCAAATACTTATTTTTATTTTGAATAAATCATTGTAATTTTCAGAAAATTACAATGATTTATTCAAAATAAAAATAAGTATTTGAAATCATTTTTCAGGTTGAATATTATTTTTGATTCAGTTCAGCAATTTCTTTGAATTAAATGTATTTTCAGATTTCATTTTCATACATATTTTGATATTTGAATCCTTATTTTTTTTCAGTTGCAGATTTTTTTCATTTTCAGATTCAAAACAATTATTTTTTCAGTTTCAAATCTTGTTTTTTCAGGTTTCACATTGCTTTTCACCTTCAGATCGTTTTTCACTTTCAGATCTTTTTTTCGCTTTCAAACTTTTGGCCCTGATGTTGCTTGGCGGGCGGGGCTTACCAAAGAGTAGTTTCGTTTGGCATCCTGAGTGACAGGCCTCCCTGTCATGTTGCCTTCATGAATGTTAGGTAGCGCGAGAAATACAACTCAATACTTTCTATACACAATACTCCCGTGATTGGTGGGAAATAAAACTGATACCAGCTTCAAAGTTCCGTTAAGTGAGCTGTTGAGCATCGTAGTTGGCAACAATCAAGGTATAAGCGCAATAAACTGTGGTAGAATGTGAAATTACATATCCGCAATCAAGCGTTGTCCTTCCCCAATTCCACGTAGCTCCTTGAACGCAGCATAGTATCGGCTTGGTTTTTGCGAACAGAATCAGAATACCTTTATTAGTCCCACTCCCACAGGGGATACATTTACATTGTTACAGCAGACAAGAGCCAAAGACAGCTTAATGTTACCTAAAGCATGCATAAGAAAAGTATTAAAGATTAAAAAAATAAATTATATATTTTTTTCAAGTTACACATTTTACAGATATTCACATCAATCAAACAAAAAACAAGCAGCCATCTATTTAGAACAGATAGAAAAAGTTGAAATGAAATGGTGTTGACTGTGAAATAAAAACATGAGGGGTTTGATGGTTGAAGGTCCCTCAATGCCACAGATATCAATATCATTTATTAAGTTGTTATGAATGTTGTGTAAAAATGCAAGTTCTGTATTTGTTGCATCTTAAAAATATCCCTTGTAAACTGGGCACAATAAAAGTAACTGTTTTAGGAAATGGTTACTTACACACTGCTAGGTAAATATGTTAAAATGAGCTTAATCCTAGGAAGGTACATTTATTTGAAACGCCCCTAATGTATTCTCTACCATCTCACTCTGAATAATATATAGAGCTGTACATTCCCTGCAGGCATGAGATTGATGAAGTTTGCTCCTTTCCCCTTTTCTCTAATTTCTCTGAACCCATGCTCGATTTTCTCCATCTTTCCTTCTCTCACACCGTACTTAATCCACCCTTCGTCTCCTTCACCTTCAGCTGATCTCTTCTAAAGTCCCGAAGGCGGAGTACGTTCCCACTATAATCCGCAGGGACGACCCGTCCATCATCCCCATTCTCTATGTGAGTCAAACACACTCGGACATGTGCTTAAAAATATATGGACATACCAAGCATACACCTTTTACAAACAACTATATGTGTTCATTTATTTTTCCTTAGGACCATGAACATGCAACCTTTGATGACATTTTGGGTGAGTAAACATTTTTGTTTTCTCTTCGCGTCTGCCTTCATAATAAAATATTCAATAAACATGTAATTCCAACAGTGAGTACAATGAATAACATAATGTACTTAAATCACATAATCTAATAATAAAATGACTAAGAACAGAAAAATATGAAATATGAAATTCTCAATGGCATGATTTTGGGCCCAAAAAATAAAGTTGTTTCATACACATGTGAATGCGTTGAAGGAGTACAAAGACACAATTATTATAAAATATAGAGCCACAGCAGATTTATAAGACCAACAGTCTATAAAATCAATCGCCTTTAGTCTTGAGCGTGCAGCAGTTTGCCTGAGGAGCGGAGTCTGAACTCTGACTCACTCTGTAGGGGTTAAAGGTCAATTAAACAGCTACAGGCTAAACTTCGCCTGCTATAAATCTCTTTTAAACTTGCTCAGATGTGGCTCAATTGCTCTGTTCGTTTAGAATCAGCTTACATGATGCAACAATACCGAAATATGTTTTTTAAAATGGATTCTCGAGGCTGTTAATGAATAATTCACATGTAGCCTATAGATTTCAGGTTTCCATTTTTCTGTCTTTTATTGACCTGTTTTTTGCTGTTGAAACACTGTTGAATTCATATATTCCATTAGTGGCTGTGATGTCTTACTGTAGTTGAACCCACCCTTCTAGAGGTTTCCTTTGACTTACCATTTCTCCCTCTCTCACTGTACATTGTTACTTGTCTTTTTTCGTATTCGTTATGCTATCTGTCACTGTTGTTCACATCAATACAACCTGTGTTTCTCTCTCCCAGAGGAAATAGAGAAGAAGCTCACAGCTTACAGGAGAGGAAGCAAGTTCTGGAGGATGCTCATCTTTTGTCAGGTAAGGAACATGTAGACACTAAATAAAAGTAATACGGTATTTCCTGTAAAATTGTACATTCATTTGTGATAAATGGGGTTATGTGTACATTCATGCAGTGCACTGACAAGTAATAGGTACCATTTTTATATATAAATCAAGAAAACTACTAGTTGTGATGGTATGTAATTTGTTTCATTCTTGTGTGTGTGTGTTAGGGAGGACCTGGTCACCTGTATTTGCTGAAGAATAAAGTGGCAACTTTTGCGAAGGTTGAAAAGGAAGAGGACATGAGCCAGTAAGTTACCACTGGGTTTATATAACATTTTCTCTCCATCTCTGATACGCTTTGCTGAGAGCTATTTTACATTTGTGGGCTAGCATTTTAAAGTGGGAGCCAGCAAGGTGACATTTTTGCTTTGTGACTTTAGCTTTCTACTCTGAGGTGATTTGTGTTCAACTCCATTCTGTCCTTTGCTTTGCCTTTAGCTAACACCGTTCCTTCCAATGCCCAAGCACTGACATGTGATGATACCTTACAAGACATTAAAAAACTAAACAAAGCCATTTACTAGAACAGATGTAATTACAGAGGTTTGAAGTTGATCAGCAAGCGGATCGCGTTGTGTCAAGCTGTTGTAGAAGTTATGTTTAGAGGCGAGGTGATGACCAATGAACATCAGTATGGTTGCAAGCAGGAAAGAGCACTACTTAAGCTATGATCGATTCAAGAATGTTAAAGGGGAAGATCAGTAGAGGTCAGCATGATTTCTATGGTCTCCTTGTGGACTTAGAGAAAGCATATGAGAAGGCTCTGAAAGAGAAGTCAAGAGGAGCAGAGAAGTTTGTAAGACTGGAGCACGATATGTGCAAAGGTAGTGCGACAATGGTGAGCTGTGCAGTATAGAAGTGACAGATGATTTCAAGGTGGAGGTGGGACTACATCAAGCATCAGCACTGAGCCCTTACTTGCTTACAATGGTGATGGACAGGCTGACGGAGGAGATCAGGCAGCAGTCTCTGTGGACGATGTTCATGGATTACATCGTGATCTGTTGTGAGAAGAAGGAGCAGGTTAGGGACAGCGCAAAGAGGTGGAGGGATTCCCCGGAGAGCAGACAGCAGCACATCTGGAGTAGGGCTGCACGATTTGGGGAAATAATCAAATTGCGATTTTTCTGACAGATATTGCGATTCGATTTGCGCAACCTGACGTTTTCCCATAATACAGCTGTGGTTTACAGTGTAGAAAAGACATTGATTTCAAGGAAGACCGGACTCTAATTAATCCCATTTCATCTCGGAAGACCACAATATGCCCAACACTCTCACTACACACTCCACAAGAAGGACGCAGTCGCCAGACGAATGAAAGAGGCACCAACGGGTCCTGCATCGTAGGGTAATACACCTACTCCCAACCCAAGAACCTAACTGAAATGAGTCTTAGCTGGATTCGGAGGACGGCTTAGACTTGTTTTTGTTTCTGAAAGTTCAATAGTGAAGGGAGTGGGTGTCAAGGGTACCTTAATTTTACGCCTTTTACTGGAAATTTTTTCTATCGACACAGTTTCGTGTAGGCAACCACTAATTGGTGAAACTAAAACGTTCCTTGTCCTCCAACACACGTATAGAGATTTGGTAGGTTGATAAGTTTCTACGGGGGGGGGGGTCCTCTCTACGAGAACTACTAAGAGTTAACCAAGTACTTACTGTTTGTTACTTAAACTAGTAGGGTCAACCTTGCAGAGCCTAAATTCACAGTTCACCTTCCGTCTTTTATAATATATTAAGCTTTTACCCTCTTTTCTCGTAATGTATTCAACATTAAACATAGTCCTAGAAGGTTTAGAAACTTACGGATTTTACTCTCTGAAGAAATCCTCACTCTGTTTTTATGTAAAATATACTACCTCGGGAAAAACCTATAACCACCTACATCCTGAGTTACTCTCCCGTTCGAATTCCATAGAATTAGCTATTTATGGAGGATGTAAAGAATGAGACCGAAGAACTCCATACCCAGTGATGACGTTCTATGTAACAAAATTAGAGAATATGACATCCCGTAAGACGAGAGAGTCACGGTCTGGTGCGACGTACAGCAGAATGGTATAGATATTGGTGTAAGTACGGAAGAAAACCAGACGTGAGATGGAAGTCTAGGCGTATGAAGAGGTCTATATGGTCGTAGAGAGGAATACGTTGTACAGGGGTTGGTCAGAAGTTAGACCGGAGGAGTTGAAACCAGAAGGGTTTGGCAGATTGGACTAAGGCAGGGGAGAATTATATGAGCTAGAATTAGGACAGTCAGACAGTGTCAACTGTAAGATAATAACAAACAAACCAACGAGTAGATTGAGAGGACAGTAAAGTCTAGGGCGGGAAGGAGGTCACGGGAACATTAGTCGAAGTAAGGCGAGTGGACCAGAGGAGTACGGGAAGGGGAAGTGAGACAATGAGAGAAGGGGAGTAGTGAGGTCTCATACATATGGTGATAGAAAACAGTGACACAGGGAAACGGTCTCAATAGAACAGCAATAGGCCGTTCGAGAAGGTCACTCACAATCCAGAATCGGATCTAAAAACAGGACGGCGCCAAAACTTAAGGGCGGACGAGACAAAATGTCTAGAGCTCAAGGACGGACGAGGAGCACAGACCAAAACCAACGGACCAGACTGCCTAAGGACCCAACAACTGGGACGGACGGGACTGGCTAATTTGACTGATAACGATATGCTGACAAAAAACATAGACTCAGCACAATACCCCAAGACTACGACATGGACACTAGCACCTGGTGTCAGGAGGAGTTAACAGGTTTGTTTTAATGGTTGATAGAAGTGAGACCAGGGAGAGGTCTAATCCAACAATTGCTCACAAGTAGCCATAAAATTTAGACTTACGTCCGCTAAAACTACTTCACGTTAATGTTTAGCGTTTCGGACGAAACAAAAATTTTCAAAAACAAGACAGAACACACAAGTCACAGTAGTGTGGTTTCTTACGACACGGTAGTTGACTGTTGCAGTACAGATTGGTTAGTCTCACCCGGGTACTATCTTCCCACTATTTCCTGTCTAACTAGGTACGTGGAACGGTTCACAAAAACTATAGAACAAGGTTTACCGAAGGTTACCCGAAAGTCTACCAACACCACTCTTTGTTTGGTGCTAATCCTCATTACGAGGTAAAGTGTACAAAGACTATGTCCCGACTTAGAATTTCGACTTGCCGAACTGAAATTATCGTTGGGTTGCCTTCACCCAGTACATTCAAGATCAAAAAAGTGAGCATCAGCCGAACGGATCACGATTCTGCCTCGTGCCAACTATGGCTGGAAGGATCGGCCTCTATACCGGAGTAAAATGTTATTTGAAGGCAACGCAGCGAA